GACTGCCATCTGATGGCCCGTCCTAAGGGTAACCAGGCGACACCATTTCGCTGTTTAGGGGTGGACGAGGTTGAAGCGTTTTATTTCAGATGCGAATTAGTTACACATAATACATATAACAGCATGCATTTTCTCACTGAAGAGGAGCAAGCTGGTAGCCCCTAGGTCATAAATAGTTTGGACCGCCAACTGGCAGGCTTATTCTGGTTTGACGATGTCAACTTGTCAGAAGTGACGTGACGTCCATCAACGATTTCGAGGCAGCATGTTTCAAATCAGCCTTCGGGGCGTTGCGAACACTTTACCAAAACACGTCTTTACATAAACAACATCAGTCCCCCGGGATATGTGACCTTTGGTGTGCCTTTGTACGAACCACCTCACGACATTACTGCATTAGATATAACGGGAACTTCATAACAACAAATTTCAATGACATCAACGATCCTACCCTTGAACGTTCCGCCCGTATTCCATGAAATGATGTTACCTTGGGAACACCTTCTTTTAAAACCGACTACACAGGTGAAGCCAATTGTAGCCATATAATCACAATCACCCAGTCGCAATTCCCCGTGTTACTGACATTTTTTTAAACAATGTGGGGAACACGACACCAGTTGATGGCCCGATCTATCAACGAGTTGAATTATTCACCCCAGGAGGATTTATTCCCCGCACAGTCCTTCCTTCGTTTGGTAACATCTGGTTGAAAAGTTATACAGTCGGTTGAAATGCTAGAACGGCGTTTTTATCTCGCCATGTCATCAACTAACGACTCGCAATTCTGTTTAAAGCTGACAACTAATATCAACCAGACGCGGTTACAATAAAACAAAACAAACTTGAAAAACATGTGAGTCGAATGTTATCATGTAATGCGTTGATCTTTATCTGGTTATTCGCCTACGGAAATAAATTTACTCTTGTCATTTTCTGAGAACCAGTGTTGTTGGGACGGAGAAATTTATTCTGCGTAACTTCGCATGTTTGCATGTCACTTTGGTGGGTATGTAGAAAGAGGTCTCTAATATGGCATTCGTCGGATATGGACACGATGGCTTTTGGAATTTCATAGAACAGACCGAGTATGTTACGCGCGTTGTATACGGAGCAATGGACTCATGCCACTGCCTTAACACATAGAGCCCTCCTCCACATAATCGACGCTATCTGAGTTTATGATGTCCAGAATGCCCGTAAATTTCGTCTATTAATACGCAATGAATCATAAAAAAAGACCGGTAACCGTTTTTTTTTTCTATCCTGATCTTTCTGTGACTGTTGAAATAAATCACATCAAACAAGTCAATATGGCGAGTAAAAAAAGTGACTGAATGAGCCGTTCACGCCCCATAGTTTATATATAATTCGTGTGAAACTAATACATTTCGTACACGTTACACACAAGTTGCATGGCGCCTATATCGAACACGACGCTGAGCGGCAACTGCGATGCTTTGGCGATGAAATAATTGCAAGAAGCGCTGATTTTTACCACTGACTGTTACATGGTATCGGATCACCACCCTGTATTCCCATCATATAGGACGTGATTCCAACGAGTCCGAGTCCGGGGCTACCACTTCCTGTAGCATGTCACGTGGCCAAACGCTCGAAACAGCTCCCAGTGTTTATATTTGAAAATAAGTCCTCCAGGAGTGATTCCAACATCGGTGTCACGTCATCCAAATATACACTCCTGTCATAACAAGGCGTCTCGCGGGGGGGGGGGGGCAAAACGGATGAAGCGACAGGCAGGAGGTCAGGGGTCAAGTACTCAATCTGTTATTCCATCGCATTCGCAATCACTTTAATGCCCGCAGTATCAGCGATAAGCGTGTGATATCGTTTAATGTGGCATCTGGAAGGGATAAAAGAGCCTCGGGGTCGAGAAAGTTATAAAATGAGTGTTACTCTAACCGCAAGTAAAACATCGTAAAATTCCCACTGGTGGGAAACACGTTCCATCTGTGGAAAGGAGAGTCCTGAGCTGAGCAGTAACGGGAAAATACGCGGTGTGTTTAGATTATCTGTCAGTGTTTTGTGTTTGGAGTGGATGTTTTGAGAAGTGGCCGCTTTATAATAGATTGATAAACGAAGGATACAATGCTTCATCTCGATAGTGTTTTTTTGCAAGATTATTGAGAACATAGCTCTAATCAAAACACAATAAGAATTTTTCATAAAAGGTTTCGCTCTGCTGCTATCTACGTCTATCCAAAATAAAATCGGCAAAGGAGAATATGGTACATTCGCGGAGGGGGGGGGTGAACTATCCATCTCCCCTTCCAGAAATTCTGGCGAGGAGCTTTCAAGCAGTCAAAGATTTGATGGTCTTCGCTGTCGTTCTCTCCGTTTTCAAATTATTGAATCTAAGTTAATACTGAAACGATATGCTATAGAATAAAGAGTAAAAAAAGTTTATCGACAACCTTTACGTCACTGTAAGCTTCTCTGTGCACGACAGACTCAATGTGGAAACGATCATATTAGAACGGTCTTAAAAGTGTATAGCATATACCAGCACATGTAGTGAGGTGTAGAAATGTCGATCATCTGAGTCGAACTAAAGGCAGCCATACTTTCAAGTGATCTGGCACATTCATCCGATCACTGACTTCAAATACTGGACGCTAGAAAAAAAAAGATCAGAAAACATTTTATAAAAACTGAAAAAAATAAGAAACAAAATAAAAATTCTTTGTTACTGGGAATGTTTTGCGTTTGTTCTTTGAATACAAAATAAATCGTTGGGGGGTTTCAAATTCAAATTGTGTTGGGGATAGTTCTCTCATGCATCTATTTCAATGTCTTATCCCTGTGTGGCCATTTACATTTCAATTATTCTTAACTTTCGGCCATTACGATTGATATCAAGTATAGTTTATAAAGGATCTTACTATTGCAATTTTTTTACTCAATCGCCAGATCCAGAATGACCACATTTAATTTACAGGATAATGTACAATTCAAACATTAAACATTCGTTTGACTGTCTCAATTTTCTGATAATATCACTACTTACTTCAAACTATAACATCAATAATATGGCGCACTTGATGACACACACGGACAAAAAATTGTATGTGACATCGACTCGCGCAACTTGTCTATTAAAGGGAAAATAGTATAATTATGAATACCATGACACATTTCGAAAATAACGGTAACTGTCACGTGACCATTCAGTTTCAAAGTAGAAAAATGTTAATGAATTCGTTAAAACCGCCGCCATGTCTCCCATAGGCTACCGTCTGTTTTTTAGACTAATATCCCACTGACATATCCGTCAACTGCAGACGTAAGGTAGTGACCAATCACAATAAATTGTAATTAGTATCCAGCGCCTTATTTGGTCTTATGTATTTTCGTTTAATTTGGTTAGGTTATCATAATTAACATTATCTTCGTAAAAGGTACGTCATGTCCATCCTCGACGCCAACCACATGTACAAGTAACATACTTTCACGATTTGTTAGGCAGACAAAAATTCAATGTGCCCTACATGTGTTGAGAGTTTTTGTCGTCACCCCTTTTTGTCAGTGTTTTTCTTTTTCTTCGTTCACACTGTAAAAAGGGAGTAGAGTACCTCGTGGTACACTCGTCCCCGGTGCCAGTCAATAACCCTGCTTAGGCTTCGATATCCTGAAACACCTTTCTGGAAAGTGTCAGAATATATGAAACTGGACTGGTTGGATATGTGGAGAATATGTGCATTGGGGAATCCCCTGTTTGTGTTGCTGTCTTCAGGGGCGGATCCAGGATTCTGGAATAGGGGGCCGATAAGTTGGTCAAAGGCGCGAAGTCCTGTTGGTTGTTAAAAATAGAGGGGGCCGCGGCCCCCTCGGCCCCCTCTAAATCCGCCAATGGTCTTTTCTCGTCCGAATTTCAAGAGATGGAACTTTCCAATTCTCGGCGCTGATGGCGCCAAGTCAAATCGTGAGCTAATCAGTGACTCTGATTGGATAAGAGGGACTTGATTCTCAGCTCCCGGGAGCAAAGGTTCTTTGTATTTATGTTAGTGATCGTCGCTGTGTCCGCGGAAGTAATAGGGGGATTGCATGATGGGAGTGATAAGTCTTTTGATCAGTAAAATAATTTTGAGTAAAGTGAAAACTAAAGTGACTGTGAAATCATGAAGTTTGATTCTATATATTAAATGTCATGAAATCTGGTTGAAATAATGAAAGAAAATTGAACTGGTATGAAAGAGCAGTAAATGTAGCCAGAATGCAAGGTCAGAATCCGGGGATAAAAATACGTCACAATACATCCAATTATGTATACGGTAATAGCCTTGATTTGCAGTTTGCGTGAATGGTCGGGGAGAAATACATGCAAATTCTGTGCTTCAGTGACAGTATTTGCTGCAACAGAAATTAATACAAGAAATGCTGCAAAAAGACATTTCCTTCTAGTAAACAAAACAATCTTGGGACGTTTATCTTGCGCCTAAACTGGTTGAAGACGTTTTTGGAGGGGCGACTCAGTCGCTAGAAGTTTTCGCCGTGACTCCGGACTATTCATTCGGGTTTATACAACATTTGTTTGAGATATTGTTTTTGTAAGTGTCCAACAGTGATGATAGGTCACTGGGTGGAATTCGTTCAGTACAATGGACAGCATTTTTAAACCTCCTCTTAC